CACACTAGATAGCAAACCCAGAGTTATATGCTTGTATGGCACACTTTGTGGTCTATAGCTCTTATCATAATTTGTAACATTTATCTGAACATTCTCTAAGTAATGCTTTTCTTTAAATTCCGTGAGGATAGGAACCATGTTTGATCTGTTTGGACTTTAGTCCAGTGTCTGGTCCCTGTCAGACACTTGCTATGTGCAGAATTCATTTTTTCATTCAACAAATACTGTTATAGGTCAGTGGACACTGTGTTAGGTTGTGCAGGTATGGGGCTGAACAAGGTAGACTAGTTCTCTTTTCCTTTCTAGGTTCAGTTGAAAAACTAACCACACACACATACACACACACACACACACACACACACACACACACACACACATACACACACACACATTAATTATTAAATAATAAAAAAACTTAAATGTCCAGTTGGCCTACAAATAGGTGTTAATTTTCCCATACTAAAATTTACTTTAATGGTGATTTAAACCCCCAGAGGCATTTTCATTTATAATGATTTCTTCTGATTAAAATACCTTGAATATAAATTTAATTTTTAAGTAATAAATGTATTTAAATATAATTTATTATATGAAATATATTTTACATAATAAAATATATTTCAGTATAACTTAATATATATTATAAAATAGGGGGAGGAATAAAACCTATAGCCTTGCTACCCAAACACAATAACTTTAAGGATCAAAGTATTTCTTTCCTGTGTTTTCCATAAACTTTCTTCCATGCCACAGGAGCACAAAACAAGTAATTTCTCTGTTTTTCATAGCTGACATTCAATCTTCCTTCTTCATATAGAGGTCAATGGATATTGCAAAAAGATTTGTCTGGCAGCCATGGCTCCAACTCATTCAATTCTTTCCACCACCTTTAAGACCAACAGTTTTACCAAAGTGGAGTGTGCCTTCAGCATCTCCTCATGTAATAATTTGTGTCTGTGTGTTGCTGGAGATTGAACCCAGGGCTTTGCAAATGTTAGGCAAGCACTCTAGAATTGTGCTACATTCTCAGTCCTTTTTATTTTGAGACAGGTCTCACTAAATTGCCCAGACTGGCCTTGAACTTGAAATTCTTCAAAGGAGGTGGGATTACAGGTGCCTGCCACACCCAGCCTCTGCAGTGAAATTGTGCCTTCCCATGTTAAACAGAAAAATAGATGGAGTGGTTAGTTGCCTTACAGATGACAACCATTCTCTTTCCACATTCTTCTCTCTTCCTATTCTTAACAAGATTTCACCACATCTTTGAGAAAGATTTTCATTCCATCTCTTCCTCGGGCTTTTCTTATTTGCTAAATATTAGTGAACTTCCAGCTTCTTTGCCACACACAAAAAAAAGATATGAAAATATTCATGTTATAGATTTTTGGAAAGAATCAACAATTAAGCAATAGAAGTTGAAGAAACTGGTTCTGAACTGTTGAGGCTGCAGGCCACATTTGTAATCTCAAACTGAAGACACCACCTTCCTTTCTGAGAAAACAATGGGTGGCAGATGACTCTGGTAGATTAGCAAAAGCATATATTACCTTAATGTTTACGGAACTACTGATACTAGTAGTTGAATACATTCCTTTAACAGTAGGTAGAGGCTTATAGATACCAACAAATTATGAATGAACAGAAAAGATATGTCTCCTATAAAGAGACAATAGATAGCTTAGGAGATAAAAATAAAGTAAAATCCTAAGTGAGTCATCAAAGTGATTTTTCAAAATATATTTTTAGTTGTAGATGAACACAATTTCTTACTTTAATTTATTTTTTTTTTGATGTGTTGATGAGAATGGAACCCAGTTCCTCATATATGCAATGCAAGCACTCTGCCCCTGAGCCACAATCCCAGCCCCACCAAAGTGATTTTTAAAACTGGCTGAGGAAGTATTCTGGCTCTGTAGGAATTAAAGCAAGACAGAATTCATTATCCTAGTTTTTTCCATATTTCTAGCAAAATAGCACACAACATTAATTCTCTCTACATAAAAACAAATGAAAACAGGCCTGCAATGCCTCACTACCAGAATATATTTAACAAGATGTGGAGGAACAATGAAATTTTTAGGGAAAGTTACAGTACTGGTATCCTCCTTCAGAGAAGCATTTACATACTAATGTTATGGAACAGGCCATTTGCGGGGTGGGAGGGTAAGGGAATATGCATGTTAGGGAGGTATCATGGTTTTTTTTTTATGCTGTGCTCCAACTTTCTTTAAGAAAAACAGATTCTTATATCTTGAATAGTAAAACAATGATACAATGATAATACAATAATAATAATACCAAGTGCTGTGATTCTACTTTTCTCTGAAATAAATGCCTCCCTAATGAAGTTCTGCACACACAAAACATCATGCAAGCTTCAAGGGATAATTTGACAATATCCTTTCTAAAATTCCAATCCACTAGAAGCAACAATGCTAATCACTTTCGAATGATTGTGATTAATTCAAAGGAATTAATTCCTGAGGAGTTTTAAAGCATTTAATAGCACACAAGTACCAAAGACTAGCTCAAAATTATCAGTCATTTGGAATCCCAGCCCAAGAGTTTAATCTTTGATCTCCTAACAAAGTGATTCACCCCAAATATTTGCCTTTTCTGTAATTTTTATCTCATAACAAAAAGTTTAGGACTAAAATTTTTAAATGTGTATGTTTTATAAAATGGGATTATGTTACAGATAAGAAGCTGAGGAAAACAGCATGTTCACTTGTTAGTATCCCATATACCCTGCCCACAAAAGCCTTTTAAAATACTGTCAAAAAAAAAAAATGAAACTTAAAGAGAGAGGTGGAAAAAAAATCTTCTGCTGACTCATTCCTCACAGAGAAACATTTAGTATTTCCTGGGGCAGTGAGCTCAATTTCTACTTCTAGTGCTATAATTTCCACTCGTGAATTCTGGAAAGGACTGAGGCAATAGAAGAGGAAGAGGTCAAAACCCTTTGAAAGACAGGATGTTTTTAAGAGTACTGTAATGAGATCTGCAGAAAAGGTATTGATCTGTGCCCTTTTGCTTTATTTCCAGTATATATTATATTAATGATATTTCCCTATGAAAGTTCAGTATATTTGTCCAGGGACTTGCAGCAACAGGGTAAATAACAAACCAGAATTTTAGAGTATTCATTAGTAAGGAGTCAAAAAGTATTCATGGAAACCCAGGAACCAGGCAAAGAAAGAAGAAAAGTTCAATTTAGAATCATATCCTGACTTCTCTGAATCATGACATGAGTGATCAAAAACATGGAAACAAGAAGGCACCAGTCATGAACAAACAGGTGTGTCCACACACACAGGTGTGTAGGCAGTGTGCGTATGGTGCTATTAAGCTAAACACCATCCAAATAACCTTGGCTACAGCTAGCAACCCTGTAACACAGATCACAAAGCCAGAATACAAAGTCAGATTTGCTTTCCAAAACCCATGCTCATCAATAATTTGCTGCAAAAAACATTGTATGACTGGAGAGGGTTAGACAATAGTTTTTTCCACCAATCACAGTACTTCTAAATGAAGTTCACAAGGGAATTATTTTTTGAAGAGTTGTAAAGTACAATTAAAATCGATGTTATGTAGATACACAAAAGAATATAAAAAATATAAATAGAGTATCAGTTTTTCCACAAAAGTAAAATGTCTATGGAAGTCTATACTAAATGAGCTATGATTGTTTCTCCTCAAATCTGCTTAACTTCTTTTTAAAATATTTAAAACTACTCAGTACAATGAGTAGAATTTCCCTCA